CTGAATACAACAGATGGAGATCTCGATAATGACATCACTGTGTCTCCTTCACACACTGTTGATCGTGTTAATTCGTTTTTTGAACATTTTAAACTAAAGTTCTGGCCAGATCTTATATTGGACCTTTGCAGCAAAACCACCAAAGCTGACATTTAAAAGTAAAGCTACATGTTCTTTGCCCACATTGCAAACAAACTTACAGTTTTGACACTTAGTTAAAATTAAGACATTGAGCTTAACTTGACTGATATTGACACATTTGATGCATACAAAACACATTTTTATTTGCTTAGACGTATATAAATCTATGTTTGGAATATAAAATACAATCATGCTTTCCCTTATACTTGCATTCAATTTGTGATATACAAACGTTTGCCCATTTTGCATTCAGGCCAGTAGATGTTGCACTGTTCACATGAAGCATCAAGATAGGAACCCTTTGTGGAAAACCTCAGATGCTGTGGGACTCAAATCCAGTACCAGGCAGTCGATTTCTGCAAGCAAAGAAGATACAACAGCCTGGGAAATTTTACTCACCGAGTATTTCACTTACCAACCGTGGACTGCTCACAGAGCCAGGTTTCAGTTCACTGCAGTCATGTTGGTTTCTATGTTTGCATCCATATATGAAGCAGTCATGATGCACTATCCTACCAGTCACCATATGTGGGCAGTTTTTAGGTTACGACCCAGCTAGGGGAAAAGGGAAGCAACATAAAACCAGGTGTTATTGGTAAATCAAATTTATTATGTAACCAGGAGGGTAAATAAGTTAACAAAAATACAAACAAGGCAAGAGGAAAACTAAAGTAGGGGAACAGGAGCCAACAAAAGCGTAACTATGTGATTCTAACCAACCCAAAAACACAAGAAGCAGACACCCTGTTCCTAATGTGTCCAACAGTCTTTTTCTAAGGGTGTGAGACACAATCAGAATTTTAAACCTAGCCCAGTCCCCAACAATCACTACCAGCATCTCAAACCAAATCGCAAATTACACACATGTTCACACAAGTGGTACAGAAGCAAGCTGCCTATCATGTCAGTCGCCACTAATGATCTGAGGGCTGGGCTCTTAAACTCTCTTCCTCTGATGCTTGAACGGCTGCAGCTGTGGTAAGGACTGTCAGGATCATTTCCACACCAATAGGAGAAGCCGGCTGTGGAGTCGGAGGCTCAGCTTTTTTGGAACGTGTTGCAGGCATCAAATTCAAAATGAGTGAATATTTGCAAAAAAAAATAATAAAGTTTTCAGTTTGAACTTTAAATATCTTGTCTTTGTAGTGTATTCAATTGAATGTAGGTCAAAAAGGATTTGCAAATCATTGTATTCTGTTTTTATTTACATTTTACACAATGTCTCAACTTCTTTGGAATTCTTCTATACACTGTGTATTATACTCAATACAATACGATACCAACGAGAAGAGGAGACAGAAAATACGTTAATGAGATAAACCTGAATGTTTTGCTGCATGTAGGAAAATTCTATCAGCGACCGATTTTTTCTAATAACATGAGAGTGAGTTAATTGTTCAACTATATTTATCCTTGTCCTGCAAATGTTTGCATGTTTGGGACCAGGTATGGTTAGCATAGCAAACACTAAGTTATCAGCTAGCTAGGTTAGCAAAGTCCATCCGTAATTCACAGTAACTCTAATATTAATTTGGATGTTAACTGTCTCCTGTTCTCCGGTCAAAGCACGTAGGGAAAAAAAACACACTAGCTTTTAGCGAGCATCATAGACATTAAAGACTCAGCCGGGTCTGGGCCCAGAGATCCAGCTAAAGAGCAGTCCCATTGGTTTTCCGAGTACAACAACCCACAACCAGGCCTGAAGCACGCCACACGTGCTGGACAGCCATTACTGTTCTGGTGGTGGGCCTGAACGGTGTTTGTTGATTTCCTGCTATTTCCCCCACACCAGCCCTTCCCTTAGATGCAGGCTGGAATCAGATTACATAACATGCTGTTTTATTAAGACATATTTACACACAGAGTAAACCAGCATGAAGTCCACAAGCAGCAGCAAAAATCTATAAACTGCAGCTGTAAGTGAAGGTAAACTGCAAGTATAAGTCCAACAGCAGCTGTGCACGAAGTTCAAGTTACTAATAAACAATAATCACATTGTTCATAAACATACAGCTGATTAATTTGAAAGCAATTTTGACTAAATGAAAGGCTTAAATGTTCACATATGTTACTCCTGGGCCCACAGAAAGTTAAGTCTGTATTATCTGTCCTAAAGCTAGACATCACAGAGAACATGAAATAAAATCTGTGGAGTGGTTAAAGTGAGTTTTAAGTTCATGTAAACCTCTGACTTCAACTGTACAGAAGGGGTTGAGATTAAAACATTAAGTCTGAATTAGAGTTCAGTGAGTGTTTGTGGAGAGCTCTTTGTTTGCTCTGTCTGAGCTTATGAGTTCATACAGAGAGCTCTCTTGTCTGATTTTCTTTTCCTCTGGGACAGCGTGATTTATGTGCAGTACTTTTTCTTTTAGTGTTCAAACAACAATGCAATTAGGCTCCATCATGTTGTCAGAGTGACATGGAGACGTCCCTGAGGCCGCTGAAAAGCAGGGTCAACGGCAGCATCTCAGGGCTGACATGCTTGACAAAAGGCTCCTGTAATTGTTTCAGCAGAGCCACTGATTGCACGGTGGCTGTAAATGTCACTGGACACAATGGTGGAGGTTTTTCAGACGCAGAGCTGAGGGGCCAGGGGTTGAGAGGAGCCTCTGAAGGTGGCAGCTCCCGGTTTTACAGGGGCAGTGAGGTCAGCTCCTTCACAGGCGCTGTTTGGTCTCGGCTCAGGTTTCCTGTTGCTTTTGCCCCGTCGTGTCAGATGTCTGAGCTGGTCCAAACAAAGATCTCCTGTCCTTACTGTGTGGCTCTTGTAAATCACAGCCCTGACCTCTGATGTTATTGTTTTTCTACCATTGTGACCTTAAAACTTAAAAGGATTCCTTAGCTCTAATAAGTTATGATAGCAGTTGATGTACTGACAAAACAAAAAGGAAAAGTTTTACATTTTAGCTTCAGTCCTAGTGGAAGAGGAACAAGCCAAACAAAGCAAACAAAGTTTACATATTATCACCATGTCAATTTGATATGGCCTATAACTATGAGCCACATTACCGTCCATTTGGAGTCATGTTTCTGTCCACCTGGTGGATTTAAATCCACTATTTACTCTCCTATTAACTTTGTGTTTCTGCTGTTTGATGCTGAGGAGCTTTTACGCTGAATACACTAAAAAGCCATGTTGATGTGCTGTTGTTTTTTTATATAGATTGAGATTTGTTCATTAAAATACTTGGTACTGAGGAAAACCAGCAGCCTCCTGTTTGCTACCAGGTCATTTCTGGACTGTTTTCTTGACTTTTTGGGGGGGTTCAGTCTGTAAAGTGACAGCAGACATTAAACAGCTTTTTCTCATGCAATCTGGAAGAGGCATCATCTCCTCATGCCTGCCTCCCGAGACGCTCTACACACTGTAAGCATTGATGATGTTGGCATCATCATACAGGACCTTTGAATTAATTTAGAGCCATGCCCTCATTCCCAAACCTGTATTTCTCCCAGTTTAACTCTACAAGTCGAGTATAGAAATTAAAAACTGTCTGCACCTGCTAAAAAAAATTGAACTAACACTTAATACAACCATGTGCTGAATCAGCTGTTCTCTGACTGCTCCCAGCGGCAGGACTCGAGTGTCTGCTGCCATCTAGTGGAGACATCACATCACACACGATGTGATGTGATACTGTTGGGGTTAATTCTCTCTTGAATTCTCTCTTTAACGATTAAGACATCGAAATGAAACATGGTGGATTTAATCCACATGTATTAAATACTATACAATTATACATCAGAAATTATTTGTTGATTATATCTTGGATTAATAATTAGAATCTGCGAAGTAACTAATATCTATGGATGTCAAAGTGATATATTTTCCCCAAAAATGTAGTGACGCAAAATCATAAAATAGCATAAAATTAAAATACTCAAGTAAAGTAGAAAGAAGAACTTGCAAAATTGTGCCTAAGTACAGTTCTTGAATAAATGTAGTTTGCTAACACTTCAACCTCTGGTGTTGTCTTAACCATGAATACTCAACAACAGTGTAAATCATCTAAATATTGGATGAGTAAGCATGAAACTAAAAGTAAAGATTGTTTTCTTTCGAGAAAGAAAACCTAAAATACACATAATCTAATATATCTGTAATTGAATATTCTACCCGCCATAGAATGTCTTGAAATGAACTGATAATACGACTACAAGGTGCCAGGATTTCTGCTGTTCAGCGGGCACTTTGTTTGCAGTGTTGCTAAGTTCCTGTTTTCTGTTTTTGTTGAATGTCTTACTGAGCTCAGCCCACTTCCCTTAATTCTTTTTGTTAAGAAGACTAAAGGCGCTCGTTACCAGGCAGCACTTTTTATGTGTTGTGTCTGTAATAAACCCTTGTGCTACTGTCTGCCTCTTTCTCCTGGGGCTACCACTGTGTTCCGAGTGGAGTTGGATTTAAGCTTGAGAGTCTCGAGACGTTGACAGGCCTGGCATTGAGATTCAAGGTAAGCAGATACCTCATTTGTCCGTCGACAAATCAAAATGGCTCCATATGGTTTGTTGCATCCACTGCCCTCAGTCTGCTTTGAAGGAAAAATCCAATTCTCTGCAAGTCAAGACCTCCGCCTTGCAAGAAGCAAATATTTTAAGCTGCCAGAGACTGAGATCCAGAGTGACGTGTGGAGCATCAAGCCGCCGGATTTCTCCCTGAAGCTGTACAGATCTCTGTCAATTCCTCAGGAGAAAGAAAGAAAGACAACTGTAGAAGTCCCACAAACCACTGAAACAAAGAGGAGAACTGGAATATTTCTACCTAATGTTTTAGATGAGAGTTACAAAAGGAAAGACCATCCAAAGTTCATCACATTGTACAGGCCTCCTGATCCTCTGCAGACTGAGCTGATGTTTATCAGGATGGGAAAGTATCTTTCTGAACCTTACAAGAACCCAAAACCTCATAACTTCAGACCGGTAAGTCTCTTTAAACTCCATGTATTATAATACTGATGTACATAGACTCAATACAAGACCAGCCTGCAGGGTGCTACACATTTCACCTTGTTTCAAGTAAGGTTGTAATATTTAATTTGACCACAAGATGGTGATAAACACAAAGACTAAACAGACTAAACATTTTTGCGTTTAAATCACTCACTTCAGCTTGATGACGACCTTCCAGACATAGTAACTACATATGAGAGAGATCCTGGCAACCTGAATTTAAAATTAAGGCACTTGGACACAAGTAAGTAGATTGAACAATCTTTTTTTACTTTGTTCTCTGACGTCATTTTGGCTGAAACTTTGTCTCAGACATTGGTATTCTGAGTGTCACAATTTTGTATCTAAACTGCAGCACCATCTTTTATTGAAACAAATGCAGAACAAAAGGCTGTTATTTTATTATTACACTTCATGCACCTACAAATGAATGACTTAATGTCTTTCTTTTTCCAGTGCGGACCATCAGATCTGACATATACTTCAGTTCAAGGGACGCCAAGACAAGGATGGACACATATAAACCTGCAGAGCCCAGATGGGATGCGGGGCTCATCCTCCCTCTGCCGCCCTGGCCTCCAAAATCAGCCTCCTACACTGTCAGTAGATGGTGTTTTAACATTATATAACATTATATATATATACATTTAAGTGATCAGCTCTGATATCACAGTTTGTCACATTTGGTCAACAGTAAATACCTCTACAGTAAAAACAACCCACATCATGCACATTGTGTTCAGTATGAATGATATCTTAAAAAGACATAATTTATTGTGATTACGAAGTGGAAAGTAGCATTTTCTCTGTACTGTACAATTTTGAGGTACTTGTATTTATCTTGAGTATTTTTAAACTTTAACTCCACCACATTTCAGAGAGATTATTGCACTATTTGATCCACTACATTAATCTGGCAGCTATTTTACACTCAAAACATATGATGACTTTCTAAAAACATGGTGCATTGTTGTACATTGGACTACCAACCAGTATATGAAGCAGTTAAAACTACATGTAAATGCTTTTAAACTTTACAGTACTGTCTGAAAGTTGGCCAGAAGTATTACACACGCATAAGAACAAGGATCTAATTGAAGCTAAATTATCATTATAACCAGCAAACAACATGGTTTCTGGTGAATCCTGTTACATTTTTTATCATTTACTTACAGTTGTGGGAGTCTACCTAATGGAACCAGTGATATTTATCAGTTTAGACAGCTTGGATTTACAGCCACGTTGAAACTGACAGTTTGTGTTTCACAGAGACACCGGCGAAGAAGAGGAGCACACAGCGCCTTCTTGGACCGAGTGGAAGAGAAGCTCTCAAGATCCTGGAAAAATAAATCATGATTCTTTCTTTTCAAATCTATATTTCATTAGTTTTCTGTGTGTATATTCACATTCTTTTGTTTAATCTGGTGAATCAATATAATATGTGTTGAGAAAGCGAAAAGTTCCAACTAACAGACTGTTTCCATTAATTTGTGCATAAACAGACTTTATGTTGTTTGAGATTTGACTGGAACTCTTTTCATGACATTATTGCGCCCTCTTATTATGTGATGGTGTAATGACTGAAGAATTAGTGCCAAAAACTGTTTATCTCAAACAATTCGTACAACATTTGGATATCTGACTTATAACTATAGGCGACAAAATAAAACAAATAACCTCAACAAGATATCGCTGTGATGACAGAAAAATACTGTATAACTGAGTATAAGCTGAGGATATAAGTAAGGATCACGTCAGTGATTTTTCATGTTACCTCGTTTACTACAATTTACATGTACTTTACTATATTACATCACACATAATTACAGCCTTTTTCCCATTTTCTGAATGTGTTTTTACTATCTTCCAGGTAGCTACATGATTTCTGTTGTTTCAATGCAACATTAATGAAATTCAAGACATTCTTACACCATCTCAACTGTCAGAGTTATGTTATTAAAGCTGATTTAAACCAAAGAGGACTCAACAGAACTGGCAGAGATATAGCATGAAACTTGCAGTGACTGGTGTCATGGAGGACACAGCGCACCACATTATGAAGCCCACTGGTCCACTGACAGCTGCCTCGTTCGGTACCCCAAGAGTTATAAACACGTGAGGCCTGCACATGTCTGAAGCATATCTGTAATAGCTGCACATGTGTGTTTAATGAGTCATGTGTGACTCTGTGCATAACTCATGGACTAAATATAAAATGAAAGGAATATCATGACCCAGAGGCTGCCATGTGTTCTACTTATTTTAATCCCCTGTTATGCTTTCCAGAATCTCAAGAATCTCATCAAATCTTCCCTCTCATTAAACAGGTGTATTTCAACATGAATAATAAAGATTGTATTTACGTTGTGTCACTTTTGTTATGCCAACTGGGACAAATTTGTACAGGGAAAACAAAAGAGGAGCCTAAATATGGGTTAATTATCCACCTCCCTTTTATGGGAAGCTGGAAAAATGAAGCACAGGATATGTAATAGAACTAATATGGTAAATAAAGCATACGAGACAAAGGGATGCTCTGTGGAATTAGTGTGATAATCTCAATGACCCCACAGATCCTTTGTCCAAGCAGCTTATTATGACCTGTAGTTTCATTGTTAAGGGTCCGTGCATGAAGTATAATTCTCCTGCAGTTTCTCACGTTGTATAATGAAAAATGCCTAATTTATTGCCTAATTTGATTGTCCTACTTGTGTGCAAATGTATGTTGACGCTTGTGAGCTCGACGCACCAAAGCGTCCAACCAGTACTGACTTTAACCCAAACTGTGATCTTTCCCTAAACGTAACCCAGTTGTTTTTGTGCTTAAACCTAACCCCATCTTCAACAGTGTCACGTCATAAAAATGTGAAAGTTATTTATTTTTCAACAGTGATTTCGAAGTTTAGATGTAGCATATTTTCTGCAGTAGGGGGCGCTAATTTCCAGAAACTGTCAGTTGTCAATATGACTTTTAAATGGACCATATGTAACCTGATTTATAAGCTAAAATAAATTTATTTTATCATTGTTTGCATTCTGTCCTATTTCATTTGTAATTTTTGTTGAGTTTTGTGTATTTGTATAGAATACCATTATGGAACAGGCATGAAACTGTCTTAAGGATAAATGCAGTGGTATGTGGCATCGATCCATCCATAAAAATAAACATTAAATAATAAATTACAATAAGTTTTCATTATTTTCAATGAAATAACTGACTAATACCTGATTGTACTTGTTGAAATTATTATTATTGTTAAATAAGTAATCTCTTGATCATACATGGTGGCTCTTCCTGTGTGCAGATTCAAATGGGGCTGTGTAAAAATAACCAAATCAAAAAACCTAATGTGACCTAAAACAGCAGCAGGTTATGTAAGGCAGCCGGTGGCTAAAAGCCAGTGACTGTTTGTTATCCTTCATGCATGATGGGCTGCAGTGTGTGTGTGTGTGTGTGTGTGTGTGTGTGTGTGTGTGTGTGTGTGTGTGTGTGTGTGTGCGTGCGTGTGTTTGTGTGTGTGCGTGCGTGTGCTGCTTTTCCTTTCCTGCCCTCTGACCAATCATTTTAAACAAAAACACGCGGTCGAACGGGGCGGCGCTGTTTCTGCATACACACACACACACACACACATACACACACACACACATACACATTGTGGATGAACACACACACCCTCTTTATCTCTCTTAACACACACATACACACGCAAACGGACAGAGGGGCAGGACGACTCGCCGAGCTGAATCTACGGTGAGTTCAATCTGAATTTACTGACATTTATCTGCTTCTGTACGTCCTGAAAGTCACTTACTGGTTTAATATGAGCTGTAAGATACTGAACGACAATGAAAACACAGACTGTGGAGTAACTCGTCTGAATCATATCAGAAAATGGACTTTGAAACGTATTTTGAACTGTACATTTTCTCTCAAAAGCCACAAATCTCCAATTTGAAGTGTGATGAATTACATCATCAAAATGTAATAAATAAATAAGAAAAAATCAACAGATTAATCCATGATAAAATAATATTTGGTGCTTGCTTTTATGCAGTATAGTTGAAATGAGCTCCACCCCAATCAGCTACTGCAGTAAAATCAATCTTTTTAATGCGTGAGTAATAGAAAATGCTTTCATGATATAAAATAGAACCATTTTCTGCATTGTTCTTTCACTTTAAAACCAAGTAGCCTACATTTTCCTGATTATACTTACATTCTTATGTAGAAACGATCGATTGATTAATCAATTGGTTGATCAACAGATCAGCTGTTTTGATTATCAAATAATAATTTTAGTCACTTTTCAAGCAGATATTTGCTGTTCCAGCTTCAAAAATGTGAAAAGTATATAATAGTTTAAACTATATATGACAATTTCCTTTTTTTTTGATGAAGCAATTAATGGATTAATCAAGGAAGCCATTGTCAGATTAATTAATAATAAAAATAATTGTTAGTTGCAGCCTGATGCAGATTTTAGTTGGAGTATTTTTACAGTATAATAATGATACTTGTAAAGAAAACTCACTTTGCGGCTGAAAATGGATAATAAAAAATAATAAATAAAAAGTAGAATGGCGTGACAGACTTGGAGCAACAGGTGATCCTGGTTCCCGGGCAGACGCGTGATTGACAGCCGTGTTAGCCAATCAGCTGAGAGAGAACCGAGGACACGCACCAATCGCGGGCGGCCGCAGTGTCCGTGTGGGCGTTGATCCAAGACTGGGGCTCACACTCACAGCAGCGGTGTCATCCGCGGTAGATCCACACGGGACACCGAGGACTGACAGGGAGGGTGCCTCCGTCTCCAGCGAGGGTTTTCTTTTTCTGTCGTCGATGCCCGAGATAAGAAGCGGGAATACTAATAATTGTCGGGCTGTGTAGACGCTGGAGAGGATCGTGACTGTGCTCACTCAGGCTCAGCTGCTTTAGTCTTTTCTCCACAGATGGCTCTCACTGGTAGGTAACCAGTTTTATCTGGACTGGGAATAAAAATGCATTTGTCCACCTGTCGGCCCTCTGTGAATGTAGTGCAGTCTCATATCCAAGCAAAATACACAGGCACCGATTAAACTCTGTAGTAATACTAATAAGATCACAGTATAATTAGCAGGGCCTTATGGGAGTGTAATGTCATACCATACAAGATAAATTCATTATATTTTGTACAATTTGTTTGAGACTTTTGCATTAAAATCAGCAGGATAAGATCACCGTACACTGGATAAAATGAAGTATATGAAAGTAATAAGCTGCCATAGTACTTCTGATAATGCCTGTTACATTGATATCAACATAATAATGACACTTTGACACCAGAATATATACAGCAAATAGCTCAGATGTCGTTTCCTGGTCTTACATGGTTATGGACTTTGGCTTTTCTGGGTGAAATGAAAGCTGAGAGCCTCCGTCTGTTTGGTCCATGTATGTGAAAATCTTCTGATTGGCACCTGTAGTCATCCCTAAAATGTCGTCATATTTCAGTAATTGATATATTCAGTATAAAAAAATACTATAATATTTGTTTTTCGCACGATAAACATAATGATAAATGACCTTTCACTGCTCAGGTCAACAAGCTGGAAACACCACGCGTCATCTGACGTATCGTGTTATAAAGTTTTTATGGTGAATGTGTCAGCAACCATTCATCTATTTACACACCCAGCAGTCTCAGAGCGGCATCAGCATTCATGTTGAGTGGTGTTTTCTGGCCATGTGACGAATGAAAATCTAATATTCACTCTTTCCTGTGTCTTTAGTTTGTTAGATCATCCCCCACCATGTTCACAATCTAGTCACTAACTTTGTCTGTCGGTCAGTATCATCTATTCAGTGGCTTTATCAAAGCGCTTTTGATTTCATTATAGCATTACATTGTTAAGTCCAGCTTTAAAGGGTGGTGATGTAACTTTTGAAAGAGGACATAACACAGTCTTCCTCTCACAAATGCAGAGTTGAATTCATAAGCAATGAAATGCACCTTTGATCAGTTCAGTACACTTGAGGATTGTGCTGCTGCAGCCCGACCAGAGGCTCACAGAGGCTAATGCGAACTTTACATAGATATTGTGTGACTTACATCACTCAGTTTGTTGATTTATGACTCCTCTGTACACATGCTACAGTTTTACTATGTTTTCCTTCATTCAAATCTCACAATGATGGCGTCTTGAAAACAACAGATCTTGGGAATCTTGGGAAATCTCATGTTCAGTAAAAGTTGCATTATCTCGCTTCAAGCGCTACTGCTTCTGTACGCCTGTGTGTCACCCACAATAACATGTGCAATATTCTTCCAGGTAATTGCTGCAGCCATTTTGGAATTTAAGCAACTCTTTGCCTCTGCTGGACAGTCG